ATCATCTGTGTACCAAGTTTGGTTGAAATTGCTCAACGCATTCCTACACACACACACACACACACACACACACACACACACACACACACACACACACGATGATATGTTTATTTCTATGAAAGGTGCAAGCCGACTGAATCATTGTAGGATGCAAATAGAAGTGTTTGGTGCATAACACATTATTCAATTATAGCCAATTTAAGGGATAAGTACAGGCTAAACAGAAACAAATAATAAATTCAGATTTATCACCTCTTGCTTTCAGTATTTAATATTTGCTTTATGAAGGTGAGCATGATAAAAATTATCAGTGAAAAGATCATGATTCATACCAACTGCAAAATCTAATGCTTAATAAAACAAAAATGAAATATTTCAAGACTCTTAGAATGGTCAGAAAGGGCTTATTAGTTTCAATATCTTCAAATAAGTAGCACTATTCAGAAGGAACTACAAATACACTGTCATTTTTAGAGATCTGACCCAACTTGAAATGCTTATAACCCAAACACAAAATATCTGTTTGAGCTTATAAATATAAATTGATACTGAAGTAGGACTCAGAAATAGAACAAATGAAGGATTCCATGATTAATAGATTAAAATATTGCTGGTTTGAGACTATAGCAATACCAGTGGAACACAAATATAAATCCACTATGAATATTATACTTTTTGTGATATCAGAGAAAGCTGTTATATTATTTCCAAATAATATACAGATTAATTACTATTTTATAATCATTAATCTACTGGATTCTTATTAATCAATTGATTAGTAATTTGACTGGTAATTCCCATTATCTTGGCTGTTTATCAGTTTGTAGTATGTGTGTGTATGCACATACCATAAATTGATATAAATAGTCAAACTAATGACAGTTACCAGTCAAATTAATTGATACATACATTCCTGTAATTCAATGTTACTTGTACAAATAATGGTGAAGCTGTTTTGTTTTCCCTTTAACATCTTTTAGCTTACTATGCATTTTTTTATGTTTTGTAAATCAAAGTTTTCTTTTTAATTCTTTGTCTTCTTTTCTTCTTTTTGTCTTACAATAAAAGCTTTAAAAATTATTTTATAAGAAAATTACCTGATGTGAAAGCTTCACTTAATTAGGAAGTCAGTGTCAAGCTCATTAACATTTAGTTTCAATTAATTATTAAAAATTGTGTAAAGTATATAAAATTCCAGCTTTGGGATCATTAATTTTGGAGGTCGACTATATTAAAAGAGAGATGAAGAACAAAGTGAGTATGTGTGTACGTGTTTATGTGTGTGTGTTTATACATACATACATACATACATACATACATACATACATACATACATACATACATACACAAACTTTAAGATAAATTAAATGGTGAATTAAAGG